CGTGGGTCATTTATAAACTACTGATTACCTGGGTTATATAGCCCTTTCAAATGTTGGCGTAGTTCATTGTACTGTACTTTAGAAAAAAAGACATATGCATTACATCCACACTGATCTCATTGGAAGAATATTTTTATGTATTTGTTTTGTGGTGCCCGGGAATCAAACCCAAGACTCATGCACAGTTGGCAAGCCCTCTACATTGACCTGCGTTTCCAGCCAGAAGAGTCTTTCAGCATTTGAAAAACTGTGAAGCTGTTGGTGACATATACAAGTTTTCCAAAATTGCAATTATTGCTAGAAATCCCGCATTTTAGTGTAGACAACAAGCACCACAGATTGGTTTCCTTGAAGTGGCGGGCTTACTTCATTTCCAAGAGAATGTGTGCCAGATGTCGGAGTCTGAGGAACCGGAGTCTGTCTGTCAGTTGTCTGTTCAACTGAGGGTTTTCCATGGGAGGCAGTCAGTCCGGCTCCCAGCCCAGACAGATGCCTGGTGCTTTCTCAGGGCAGCATTTGGATTGGGGGGAGCAGAAGTGCCATTTCATCGTAAAGAGTATTTTAAAATGTGTTTTAAAGGTCTACATTTAGTAAAATTAATACTTCTCCTGCTTGATCAAAGATACGCTTGAGTGAAACTGGCTTTTTAAAAGTCAGGCTAAGGGTGTGTGGTGGCACGGGGACACCAAGGACCACTCACTCCCACAGCCTTCGTCTCAGATGCCGCTGTTGTGCTGGCACCATCAGTGTGTGTGAGTACAGCACAGCAGTGAAGGCACATAACGTCTGGTGTTATTCTGACTGTACTTTTGACTTCATGTTCCACCTGGCCTGGGGCAGGGCCAGACCTTCAGAGTCTGCACATCACACACTGAGAAGCTTCGAAGCTAGAGCCAGCCTGGAACCCTGGCTGTGTTATATAATACAGTAACCATGAGGCTACTTCCGTACCTTCTCAGGTCTTTGTCTTTTCATCTGGAAAAGAGAGACATGAGTTTCTGTGATGGGTTGTGGTGAGGACTGAATGGAAGGACCGTAGAGCCTGTGCCTTCATTAGTAGCTCGAACCTAGCACATGCTAGTAAAGGTTGTTTTCCTCCTTGGGGCGTAATGAAGGTGCTGGGGCTGAGAACAGTGGGCATCGGTGGGGAGATGAGTAGGAAGAGATGGCTCTTCCCTGCAGGGCGTGTCTAGAACCCTGATGAGTTTGAGGCAGATTGCGCTTTGCTATTCTCATTTGCACTGAGAAAGGGGCCAAGGACAAATGGGGCACACAGTTTCCTGGGCCATGTCAGAAACCTAAGTACTGTAGTCTATGTCAGAGCTCTTTTTTTTTTCCTAGACTGAAGAATGCAAGTTTGATTCTGTCCAAGCTGAGACCTCAAAACTCAATTCATTTTACTTTTAAAAATGAATTTTATTCCAAGAGTAATGTGAAGATTGTGTCCAGATTCTGTATAAGGCTGATAATCATAGGAAAGCTCATAGTGCACATGGAATAGAAGGGTTGCTTAGTTTATAGTTTATATTTCCACTGCGGGTAGAGAAAAACTTGGTGGAATTGTGCTCTGAAAAGAGGGTGAGTTTTGACTGGCCAGTGTAGTCATTTGTCCAGAGGTTAGGCATCAGGCCCAGTGTGTAATGATGTTCTGGGTCCATCTACAGGAAAACTTTCCGTAGCTTGGTGATCCTAGACAAAGAGTTTATTGCACTCTGAGTCCATCACCACCAGCAAGGCCTCTTCTCTTGGAGTGACTTTGCTTTTATGCCTGCAAGAATAAGATTTGGAGCAGAGTGTCCTTGTATTTTGCAGTGACCTTTTGTTTCTTCTGTTGATGGTCTTACTATTTGGATTTTGAGTACCTAGATAGAACATTCTTGTTTTACTAGATAGACTTGGTGTCATACATAAACAAGCCTTACAAGTTAATGTAAGGGTTGCTTTCCAACATTTATTGAATTTTGTTCTACAGTTGTTAGTGGGCCTCTTGTAGCTCTGAGCACTCATGTGGGCATTGTGGCAGATCTGCCTGGTGGACTAGATGCACTGATGCATTTCAAACCAGTACATTGTCAGACTTTTATGGACTTTCTCTATCTCCAAGGTTGAAGAGTTCTTTCCTCCAAGATGGATGGAGAAAAATGAATGTTTCCATTCCCTGCCATGCATAGCTCCATAAGTTCTGCCCTGGGACTTCGGTGCACATCACAAATCCAGATCCTGTTAGAGTGACTGGTGTGTCAGTTACTTTTCTCTCATTGCTGAGATAAAATACTGGATGCCCAAAATTATGAAGGAAAGATTGGTTTAGCTCACAGTTCATGGAAGTTTCAGTCCATAATCTGCTGGGTCTAAGGCAGGGTGGCTCATGGCAGAGGGCAACAGTTCATGGCAGTGGAAAGCAGCAAAACAAGAAGAGCAAAAAGGGAGGAGCCCAGAGGGAAGACCCTTTGTGTCTGCTACAGTGTATGTAGACCAACAATCACACCCATAATCCCAGCACTGGGATATGAAACATTCACAAACTCTAGAAGCCTGCCCCCATGACTCCAGGAAGCTTTGAGGGGGCGTCCAGACACGAACCGTAACAACTGGTGAAGTGGAAAGGCTGCTTGGCTGTACTTGGTCATGAGGTTCTGACTTCCTCCCTGTCTTACTGCTTCCTAACATTGTGACCTGGAGTGAGCTGTTCTGCTTTGTGGAGTCCCAGACTCTCTATGCATAGCCTGAGGCTAAAGACACCATTTCCCTTTATCTGCTTTAGGAATGGTTGGTTGTGAGGCTTTAGAGGAAATACCTGGGAAACCCGAAGAGGGGATTTCAGTTCGTACCACTGATTGCCTGGTACCCAGTAGGAAAGGTCAAGGAACCCATGCAGGAAGAAAAGCCTGACAGTGTCAGAGGACACCATTGGTAATTTGTGGTGATTCGAGAATGTGATCTCTCCACACAGATTGACTGGGATTGAGTTTGTGCTCCTCAGTGGTGTGACCTTAGGCATGTTGTTAACTTCTTTGTGCCTGTTGTAGTCAGGGGTTGTGAGGAGAACAATTACAATCAGGACACAGAATTTATAATATGATCACTCAGAGTTAAACACAAAAAAGTGCAGGAAGTCTGTCCATAACGCTAAAGACCCAGAATATTCAGCCAAGAGCCTGGATCCCACAGCAGTGTCCTGCATGAGTCCAGATTCAAGGCCTAGAGCCCATGACAAGGCCTCCCACGGGTCCAACTGGAGGTCTAGAGCCCATGAGAAGGACATACACCAGTCTGTTTTATGGATCTGCGCTGGGAAGGCCCAAAGGTCAGCAGTGGAAGCTAGAAAGTCTGTGTCAGCGGGGTGAAGGAGCTGTGCCAGTAGATTGGGGGTTCTATGCTGAGCCAAGAAGTCACACTCAAAATGAGGATTAGGTCTGCCCTAAAAAGTACCTCAGCAACATGGAGGTCCCAAGCTCCCCTGATGATAACAGTTAAGTACATGCCAGGAAGCCAGTGTGACGAGCTTCTCCTGGAGAGTACACAGCACACATCTTCCCCTCCGGAACCAGGAAGCGATGCTCGATGTAAGGAGCAGAGCTCCCCCAAAGAGAACCACAGCCAACCTCACCGACAAGGTCCCAAGCTTCTCTGATGATAATAGCCAAACTCATTGGGGAAGCTAGCCATGACAGGCTCCTCCAAGAGAACCAACAGCTCAAAATAGCAATACTTAGGAAAATCCACAACACCTCACTCTTCTCCGAGTCTCTATGCTGGCAGCTTTCCCCAGGTGGGCCATCCACACGAAGCACCATGCTGATTTAATTCAGCTGGTGTTAAGTTGACCACCAGTTTTTAATCAGCAACAGTGCTTTAATTTATTTTTCTGAAATACAGACTTCAAAGTGACACCTCACCTCCCCACATCCATGCATCCAGTAGTACCAAACTTTTGAGGATTAACTGAGAAAATAATAGACCGAAGGAACAGCCCAAGCCAGGTGTGGTGGCACACACTTGTAATCCCATCACTGAGAGAAGCAGAAGCAGAATTGCTTCTCTCAGTGCTGGGATCACCCGGGCAGGTTAGTGAGATCCTGTTCCAAAATAGAAAACAAAAGGGCTGGAAATGCAGCACAGTGGTCGAGCACCACTGGGTTCAGTCCCCACGGTGAGGGGAGTACAAAAACTAGGCCCCAGTTTCTGGCGCGTGGAAACACTCCGTCCATGTTAGTTCCTGTGGTCAGGGCTGCAGGAGTCTCTCCCTGCACGTGAAGTTATGTTCAGGGAAACTAACTGGATGTATGGTTTAACCAGAGTCTTGTAACACATGCCACGTTAAAGCAGCCATTGTTTAGCGGGGTAATTCCTGGTCTACCCAAGGAAGCCCTTTGGTGAGTGGAGGCAATTCATCCCAGGATCTTAAGATTCCGGTAGCATATTAGGAAGAAAGGGGAGTGTTGTGGGGCTGATAATGTATTTTTTTCTATTCTGTGCATCTCCTGTTTGTGTATATTCTCTAGCATTCTATTCTATCAGCATAGTTGTATTTCAAGTATTACCTTGATTAGCTGTGTGGGAAATGAGGTAGAGGGAAGCTGAAACAGTTCTTTAAGTGTCTTGTGCTGCTGTTTTTATTTCCTGAAAAATCATTGAAAGCTGTGTTTTCTTGAGCACAACAGGTATATGGTATCCCACCCAGCTTGCCTACTCTGCAAGGCGCATGTGTGTGGTTGGTCTGCAGGCGCGCGAGGCCAGGGAGGTAGAGCCAGGAAACCTGAGTCCTGGGCCTCCGCCCTTCTTCTGCCTCTGCCGCGACTTGCTTTCTGGCCTTGGGCAAGTCCTTTTACCTTTGCGACCTTACTCTGGTGGTCTGCAAAGTCTTAGTTTCTTCACAAGGCACACGTGTGTGTGCTCACACACACACACACACTTAACCTCACAGCTTAAGTATTAGTGTGACAAATGGTACTGATAACCAAGTTCTGACCCTCCTAATGAAATATTTTCTTTCTCAGTGATGTTACAGCCTTTCGATTATGATCCCAATGAGAAAAGTAAACACAAGTTTATGGTTCAGTCTATGTTTGCTCCAGCTGACACTTCTGATATGGAAGCAGTAGTAAGTACTGAATGCTTTTTTTTTTTCAGTAATAGTTACAGAAAACAGGTACAGAATTGTGGGTGCATGCATTTCAAAATTGTTTACAGGGGAATGGTGTTTTCTAGGTTTATATTTGATGATCTTCATGGGTTTTCTAAACTTTGATGAATAATTTTAACATTTTACAGAGTTTCCTAGTACTATTTTTTTTCTGACTTATGTGAATTTAATTTGCTTTACTAGTTTCTGACCCTGATGGATTGTGTCCTGAGTGACTGCAGACTGTTCCCTTTCTTCCCCCCACCTGTTCCCCAAAAATGAGAACTTGCCATTGTTGAGAATGTTTCTTGCTTCCTGATCGCCCCACCAAACCCAGAAGGACGTGAGAGTCCTTTGCAGTGTGTACTTCCTTTACCCTTTTTGGCTTGGTTCTGCTAAGCATGGTTCTTTGTTTTTTATTTGGTGCTGAGGTCCTCGTGCGTGCTAGGAAAGTACTCCATTGCTGGACTACAGTTCCCGCCCAATTCTTCTTCATTGTTTTTAAGCCTAATTCCTTCCCTGCATAAATATATGTTTAACTATTCCTCCAGTTTGGTAAAATTAGGATGACTTCATTTGTGGAAGTTAAATAAGCAATCTTACTGATATTTCTGGTAAACAGAGAGTTTATAATGGAAATTCTCCCCAAAGTAAGCTTTTGAATGACACAGACATTCTGGTGCTGTGTGAACCACAGTCTGCAACCTTGCAAAACAATGGCGGCACCAGGGACAAGCTACTGGTCGCTGCAGCCTAAGAAAAGAGGGCAGGGTTGGCGCCTTTCCCCTGCTCTGTGCCCAGTTTAGCCAGCCACGTTACCTTACACTGTACTGTTGTTCTCCTCTTTTCACTTTTTATTTTAAGAGCTGTTTCATGCAGAACGCATCTTCCTGCCCCAGTGTCTCTGCTCAGCTTTTTCTGTTTGTCTTAGGAAAACATAACTGACCATCTTATTGAGGTTTAACTTGAAGACAGAAAATGAAGGGCAAGGTTGGTGTTTTTTAGATTGAGAGAAATCAGTAAGAACTGGTTGGCTTTTCCGTAAGAATAATCATGGAGGCATTCATTCCTGTCTATTTCCTGGAACATGCTGTGTTGCCTAACGTTAATTTATTTGACCAAATAAACACAGGTACAAAATAGGTAACGTCTGAGAATGTTGTTTCTGGCTTTCAATGCAAGACACACTGAAAAGTGCGAGAGCTGGGTCATCCTGATTTTGAAGCTGTGTTCTGCCTTTTGCTGACATTGTGGCCTTGAGCAAGTTTGGTTACCTGTATAATGAAGATAAAAATCCAGCTCACATAACTGAGAATTAATGTTGTGTTTGTAAATGCCTGGCCCAGTGTCTCTATTTGTTTTTCTGAGTGTCATTGAATGATCATTTCAGTTTCTATTGTGATGATTTTTATAACAGTTAAAATTCTTTTTGTACAAAAATATATTGTAGGAAAATTTAGAAATACACAATTGAACAAAAGCTAAAACAATAGTGAGCTGTAATTCTTTCATCCTAGACCTAATCAGTGTTGAGAGCCTCGCACTTTATTTCTTTTTATTTTGGTATACAGAAAGCAGAAAACACAGTGCAGTAACCACTCACCTTAACTAGGCTTGCCGCTTATTAACACTTCGCCACCTTTGTTTCATTGCTATCATAAACCTTTCTTTTCTGCAGAGCCATTTAAATGCAAAATGCAGAATTCATGACACGTCACTCCCCTAAGTACTTAAGAATAAGAACAGTCTCTTACAGAGCCATACTGCCACTAGCATAATCAAGAAAATGAACTTTAATTCAGTATTATTATCTAATAGAAAAATCCGTGGTGAGCAATTTTCAGTTTCTCAAAAAATGGCCTTTAGTTGTTGTTATTCTAGTAGAGGACCCCTACCCTTTTTGTTTTTCATGACTTTGAAGCTTCTAGAGCATACGCTAGTTTACTTGTAGAAAGTCTAATATTCTGGATTCATCTGTTATTTCTTCATGGTTGAAGTGAAATTTTTTTTTTTTTTTTGGCAAGAACATGCTCTGGTTGGCATCACAGATGTATCACATTGGAAGGCATTTCATGCCCAGGGATGGCCCTTTGTTGGTGATGCTGTTTGATCTTTTGTCTCAGGTGGTCACTAGCTATCTCTTAGTGACACTGCATACCTGTTACCACTGTGGCTAATAGGGGCTTTGTGATAGTCATCTCATGCCCTGAGACCGTGTAAATAGCCTGTTTACCAGCAGTCTGTCTTGGGTTGGCCTTAGCATCTGGTGATGTCCCTGGGCTGGTCCTCTGTTGATGCACAGGCACAGGCACAGGCGCATAGGTCCTGAACGTGTGCACAGAGGAACGGGTTTTGGTGTAGTTTGTAATTTCTTAATATTCTGCACCCCTTCCTGTGAAAATTGAACGTGCTTCGGTGTCATTTGAATGACAGCATGCTAGTCTGTTAGCTAGATCTGCCTTTATGTGTGGCACTCCCCTGGAGTCAGACACAGTTTTTTCCTGGTTTGTGTTTGTTGTTTCATTGTTGCTCTGGCTCCCTCCTCCTGCCTGGTTTTGGGGAGGCTGTGGAGAGGTAGACTGCTTTGTATTGTGACTTGCTCAGCTGGTCTGTAGTTCTCAGAATACCGGGTCCTCCACTCCTGCCCTGCGGAGAGGAGGGTAAATCAGGAGAGCAGGTGCCTCACTGGCAGACTGAAGGGAGTGGATGTGGCTCCAGGGACAGCGGTCAGCCCTGATGCAGCCACTGAGGTAAGGAGTGGCTTGCTGGTTGATATGCTCCTTTGGTAGTTGGCAAGATGGTGCCTTCTGAAACTTTCTCAGGAGGATGTGTCCTCAAAGGAAATTCCATTTTCTGAAGGAGAGCCAGTTACCTCTGGTATTCTAGGCAGTATGTGAAAGGTCCCACTTGGTCCAGTGACCTTCACTGTTGCTAGCATCCCACAGATCAGTCATGTGAGGAGCATGCACAGACTGTGAGAAGCCAGGCAGCAAGGCGTGTGGTTGTGAAGTGTGATAAATATTCAGGAAAGCTCATGTATTTAATCACGTCATGTTACAAATATTGAAATCTCAGCAGACTTAAGTTCTTTATTTGATATACATCAGGGCCTTCTCATTAAGACTATTTTTCTGAAATTGTCAGTTATAGTTGGAAAATTATTCTTCCAGCAGCTTTATAATATCCTGATTATTAAATTTAAATTGTTTTAGTGGAAGGAGGCAAAACCGGAAGACCTTATGGATTCAAAACTTAGATGTGTGTTTGAATTGCCAGCAGAAAATGATAAACCAGTAAGTATGTTTATCGTTAACAGTAATTGAATGTTGCAAGCTGATGCTTATTTGCATACCATCTCCTGCAAAACCAAGATGTAAGTTGGCAAATTATTTTTCTTCCTCTAATGTATGAAGAAAAAAATCAGCTGAAGTCAACAAGTAAGTGGCTTTATGAAATCAGCCCTTGAAAGTTTTGTAGAAAGACAACTAATTGGAACAGTTTTCCCCTTGAAAAGTGCAGCCGTTGGCTGCTGAGATGTCATGAGTCCCAAAGCGCTGCTCTAAGCTGACAGAATCACGGGTCCCAGTGGGTGAGACCAAAGTGGGGACTCATTTGCCTCTGCCTGCTGGACAGGAATAAGCTTATGGGCCACGTTACAGAGCGCTGCTGTCAGCCCTCTCACTCAGCGCCACCTCTCCTGTCTCCTTTTTCCTTGCCTGTCCCTTCAGTCAGAGCAACCTTTAGGTGAGGATTTTTTTTTTAACTTTTTATTGGTACCGGGGATCGAACTCACGACCGCCTGCTTGCAAGGCAGGTGCTTATGCCGCTGAGCTAAATCCCCAGCCCTTATGTGAGGATTTTTAAACCTCAGCACTGTCAGTGTTTTGAAGTCGCCAGCCCCTTAATTCTCAAATTTCAAATTTCTGAAATTGGAAGGTGACCTGTAGGGAGGCCATTGTTTTTTGTTGTTGTTGTTTTTTGGTCCTGGGGCTCAAACCCACAACCCTACACTTGCCAGGCAGATGCTTGTGCCACTGAGCTAAACTCCCGGCCCTTAGCCCATCCTATCATTGTTTTGGGTCGGCTCATTCTTCGTGCTGGGGCCCTCCTGTGCACTGCAGCCTTGCCCTCTGTCATTAGACACCAGAAGCACCTCGGGGTGTGACAACCAGGAAGGCCTCTAGACATGGCTGCATGTGCCCTGCGGCAGAGGGGTGCCTTCTCCCAATGAAAGCACAGGCCAGCTGGCCTTTGCCTGGGCTGAGACCATTGAAGAGAAGAACTAAATTTGAAATGCTCATCTGGACCTCTCTTCCATCTAATCAAGAAGATTATAATTATATTTAAAACAAGGAATTAAAAACCCATGAAGAGTCCAAAACTGTCCTGGCCCTTGGTAGCTGGAGTTGGAAAAGGCAGTGATCTCAAGCACTCCGGTACCCTAATCCAGAGGAGTCTGTAGGGATGCTGTTGATTGGTTAGAACCATGGCGTATTTGCTTCTTCTAGCTGGTCACCGTAATGGTCTTCTTTCTGGGAATGCACAGTTGCATCTCTCCACCCCAACTTCCCAAGGTATACTTTGCCATGGGAAAGTCAGTTGGAAGTGGAAGTCCTGAGTCGCAGGCCTGGCTCTGTGATAGGTGGACTTGGCAGCCTGGGGCCTTGCCTTCCGGCCGTTTCCTCCGGGAAGAGAAGGGAAGAGAAGGGAAGGAAAGGGTAGAGCTAGCCGTCTAATTCCCCAGGCTGAAGGCTCCTCCTCATCATCCAGCCTCACATAAGTTCCCCAGCACCTAGGCTTCCTCTCCGCACTTCTCCAGTCTCTGCGGGGTGCCGGGCAGGACGTGGCTTCCCTCCCCAGACTGGAGCGCAGCCCTGCTTTCCAGTTTAGGCTGGTGAGAGGAGTCAGCCCTGTGCGGCTCTCCCTGGCCACCCAGCCCGAGCTCCACGGTGGCAGGAATTCCCCTGCTGAGGCTTCTCCTGAGCCTTACACTATGCTAATCTTTACAAGGCAGGAATTTGATAGTGCAATATGCATAACCTTTTTCTTTCTTTGAAGTATTAGTCTCAGCCCAAATTTATTATTTGCCCTTACTCATAATTTCTAGGGCCCAGTTACTTTATTTAGATTATTAGATGCTAGATAAAGTGATCCATTTTTAGAATAAATGTGACATTTTATGGTATGGTTGTTACCTTGTATGGTATTTACTGAGAAATACTTTGCATTGAAGATTCTTTTTTTACATAGTCGATGATACTTGGACTTTCATTTATTTCTGAACAGCATGATGTAGAAATAAATAAAATTATATCTACAACTGCATCAAAGACAGAAGCACCGTCAGTGTCTAAGTCCCTGACCTCATCTCTGGACGACACTGAAGTGAAGAAGGTGATGGAGGAATGCAAGCGGCTGCAAGGGGAGGTGCAGAGGCTCCGGGAGGAGAACAGGCAGTTCAAGGTGACCCGTCTGTTCTGTCTGCCGCATGGCTGTTCTCACGGGGGTCTTCCGAGGGAGCACTGGTGGACATCTGAATTTGGAGGGTTTTTTTGGTTTTGCTTTACTTTTCCTTCCCAAGGATAAATTTCTGTAATTTTCTTCAGGTTCTCAGAGGAGTTCTTGACTCCCTCAAAAGTGAGAACCACTGATGCTTGGGCAGAAATTTCACAGCTGTTGAAACTTGTCTTTTTAAAAATAGGGGGAAAAACCCCAAAATGGGAGCACTTACATCTCCATTAGTGTGACGTGAGAAAACAGCAGTGGTGGTTCTGTGCATGCATTCCCAGCCCCACTCCCTGGAGCCCCAGTCCCCCTCCCTGGAGCAGGCATCACTAAGAGGCTGACGACTGGCCCGTGCTCAGGCCTGGCACCGCGTAGTTCCCGGTGGTGAAGACCAAGTAGGCCTGGGCGGCGGTGCTCTTGGAACCGCCCCCACGGTAGTGGGACTGGGAAGGCACCCTGGCCTGGGAAGACAGGGAAGCCGAGTGTGGGCAGAAGCCTGCGTGTCTCTCTAGTTCGGGAGGAGGAGCTGGCCCGGGGGGTAGTGAAGGCAGCAGGTGATGCTTCTTGAGCTTGGAGACCTGTGGTGATGTAGATGGTTCGTAAGTGTAAACTGGCTTGCAGACTGTAGCAGTTACAGCAGACACAGACTGAAGACCTAAGGCGTGGTGCCACTGTGCCGTGCAAGTGAGCAGCCGAGTCCCAGCGAGGGAAGGGCCCGCTGGAGGCAGCCGAGGAGCCCCACCACCAGCGGAGGCCCCCCTCTGCTCTCCTCTGGCCTGCTCGGTACTGCCGCACCGCCGCAGCACGCTAGGCTAAGCAGGGCACTCCCGGGCCCCCACGCTCTTCAGAGGTGCAGCCGGGTTCTCCGTGTCCCCAGCCGCATGCAGCCCCGTGGATGGGGCTGCAGGGAGATGGAGAGACAGAAAAGATTACAATCCATGTGAAAAGGGTCCTACAGAGGACAGGTGTGAGGCAGGCCCACTCTGCTCATCCCCTGTGGACGCCAGGAGCACCCAGGCACTTGATGTCTGTGAAAGAAGCAGAGGCAAGCTCAGAAAGTGCCGCCGGAGCGTGAGACCCAAGGCGGGGAAGCTGGCTCACTCCCCGGGAGGGGCCTGGCTGCAGGCGGGCGCTGGGCAGATCAGAAGGACCGGACCTCCGCCTGGCCCTGCAAGTGCTGTGTGGTGCGGGGTTGGGGGAGTCAGGGACCTGCACAGCATTGGGGCAGTGCAAGGCGACCAGGCAGCAGGCGGAGGCAGAGGACCTCCCGGTCCTGCGCTCGCTCATGGGCGGAGAGGGTCGGGGACTGTGTAAGTAGGGAGAAAGCTGGGCGGCGGCGCGGGGCTCCTTGGATGGGGTGCACCTGGTAAGTGGGAACTCTCCGAAGTGAGTGAACGAAGGTCAGTCACAGTGAATGGCACCCAACAGGTGACTTAGCAAGTACCAATCCCGTTACAGGGCTACATCCGGAGCCTCGGGCCCCGCATGGGCTTGTGCTGTGTGCTTCGGAAGGGCCTGCCGGGTTTGGTGAGCAGAGCCTGTTGGTCTGAGTGGCCTGGCCTGGGGCTGGCTCAGGGGGTGACAGGCTCTGGCCAGAGAAGCGGAATGGCTGGGGATTCGCGAACCAGCTGCGCCTCCGGAGAGCCGGGGCCCGGCAGCGCCCTGCTAGCCGAGCGTGCTGCGGCGGTGCAGCCTCCAGCAGGCCCTTCCCTCGCCGGGGCTCGGCCGCTCACTTGCACGGCACAGTGGCACCATGTTGTCTTCCTGAGCCTTATTTCTGAAATCTGCATTTGCTCCGCAGGAGGAAGATGGACTTCGGATGAGGAAGACGGCGCAGAGCCACGGCCCCATCGCGGCGCTCGCTGCCGCGGGGAAGGAGGAGGGCCTCAGCACCCGGCTACTGGCCCTGGTGGTTTTGTTCTTTATTGTTGGTGTCATTATAGGGAAGATTGCCTTGTAAAGGCAGCATGCAAAGGATGGCAAATTGGATTGAGGGATCCACTGTATCATGGGATTTAAATTTATCATAACCATGTGTAAAAAGAAATTAACGTATGATGACATCTCACAGGTCTTGCCTTTAAATTCACCCCTCCCTGCGCGCGCCCACACACACACATGTACACACAAATATAATATAACAATCTTTTAGAAAGTTAAAAATGTATAGTAAGTGATTGAGGGGAAATGAATGATCTCTGTTAATGACAAGGGAATCCGTGATTGAGGCCACGGGGCGGACTGTAACTCGTTGGAAACTGCTAGGCCTTGGTCCGTGCTGCTGGATACCTCTTAGCACAGGACACTTCCTCGCCTGCGGGAGCCGGAGCACAGTGCAGTGGGAGGTGCGGCTGTGTCCGCAGCTCCCCCTCGCGGCCCACTCCCAGCCAGACCGCTTTTCCACGTCTCCAGCCCTGTCCAAGCCCTCGGCTCCCTGGGACTGGTGAAGAGCCGCAGAAGCGAGAGCATGCAGCAGGTGCCTGTCCGGAGCCCAGCCCGCGTACCCCGCGCTGTGGAACTCAAGAGTCCGTGCTTTGTTCTCTTGAAGGGACCAAGCCAAATGGCCTGTTGGTTCATGTAATGAGACTGAACTGCGGTGTGAGATGTTTAATGCATATTTAACTTATTTAATGTATTTCATCTCATGTTTCTGTCACGAGAGTGCTGTGAGTGCTGCGGCCTACGGTCCCGTGCTGTGGGGCCCCAGCGGGTGGGCTGGCGCTCTCCCTCTGGAGGCTCCGGGTGCCGGGGGTGGTCACCCACCTGCCAGTGTTCCTGGTGGCAGTGGGAGCCGTCTAGAGTGGGAAATTGTTCGCAGTGACAGTCAACTCTGAGTCACCTGTTTGAGTGGAGAAGAGCAGCCGGTCTTGTAGTTTGTCGAGCACCTTGCAGCCACCACTCGTGGTTCCTTCCCGGGCCCAGGCCTGTCCTGACTGCCTGCTGGAGCTGGGGGAGTCAGGGCAGCTGAGTTGGGCTGCAGAGCGAGGGTGCCAGCAGACGGGGTGGGGCGGGGCGGGAGGGCCCCTCAGCTAATCCATCTAGTGGTAATGGAGAGTCTGACTGTGAATTAATTTTATGCCATAAAAGACCAATCCAATTCTGTTCAACTATGTAGCATCTTAAAAAGAAAAAATAAAATGCCAAAATTAAGAATTCTTTTGTCATTTTGTCACATTTGCTGTATGGGGAAATTAATTTATCATTATCGTTTTGCCATTGGAAAGCTGATTTTAAAATGAGCTCCGCCAGCAAGAAATATGTTTAATGATTTAACTACACACACACACACACACACACACACATACATGTATCTGTGAATATATTTTTTTGGTTGGCTTTAAATGACAGCATGAGAAATGAAGCTGCTGAAACCCCGAATCTGTTGCCTTCCCCCCCCTGCCCTCCCTGCTTCAGTAAAGTGCATCCTGCTGAGGTCAGGGAGCCATGCCAGAGCCTGCGGTAAATGGGTGCAGGCGTGCCCTCCGCGTGTGCGTGTGTGCATGTGTGTGTGTTTTAGAGAACAAGCTCAGCAGAAGGAAGAGCATTCTGAGAAGTCACACACCTCTGGCCTGGCTGTCTGTGGGCTGGCCTAGGACCTGGAGCTGGAGACTGGGAGGCTGTGCTGGTCTGGTCAGTGCCGCCACTGGAAGCCCCGGGGAACTGAAGGAAGTGTCAAGCAGGTCTGCTCTGCATCAAGCTCCTATTGCTTGGATAGGGCTGAGCAAATAAGTGGGGCGGCCACCGCCCTGTGTGTTAGACTCCAGGGTCTTTCCATGTGACTCCCGGGACTTAGGGAATGACAGGAGGTGAGCTGGGAGGCACCTTTTGTCATCTGCCCTTCTCTATGTGGACTGAGGTTTGCTAGTGGAAGGTGCGGTAGCACTTTAGCCCTCCCGTGGCTTTCCGCCCCTGGTGGCTGTGAGAGAAGAGTGTCTCCAAGGCCCTCCTCCCACAGGGACAGGGGTGCAGGTCTGCAGCCTTAACAGACAGGGCACGTTGCGGTAACACGCCGCTCCTGAGTTCAGCCAGCTGGTGGGATAAAAGTGCCTAGGAGTGCTGACTGGGTCTTGGGATGCGCTTTAATGTTAGGTGGACCTGGCAGAAAAGGTGCTGTGGTGCGCAGAAGATACAGAGTGTGGTTGGAGCAAAACTTGTAACAACAAAAAGCTCTAAATGTAAAGTAGTCAGAAACAAAGCATGGTCATCTGTCTTTTAACTGATCTTGCTCTGCAGTCTTTCGCTTGTAGAGATTAGAACTTGCTGATCACGTGTTAGTTGTTGGTTTGTGCTGCTTCTTGGTGTGATTTTTTTGAGGCAGAGTCTTGCTGTGTAGTTCAGGCTAACTTTAAGCTCATTATGTAGCCCAGGCTGTCCTTGGACTTGCGGCCATCCTCCTGCCTCAGTCTTCTGAGGGCTGCAATTACAGGGGTGCGTGACCGTGCCCAGCTTATGCTGCTGCTTGACTGTTGGAAGAAAGAAACTCCAGAGGGTGAGAAGCAGGGTGGTGTTGGGAACGTGGGTTATTCCAAGTCCCCTTGGTCGACAGAAAATGTGCCAGCAAGGAGGAAGTGTGTGGAGCAGGTGCTGCTCTCTTTCAGGGGCCGGGCAAGGCCGAGAGAGTTTTCTGGAACGATCTAAGCAGGAAACCAGAGAGGCAGAGCGGAAGTAAATGTGGGGTGCTCTCTTCTGCCCAGAGAGGGCAAGCGTAGGGTAAGTGGGAAAGCTCAAGGCTGGCACCCAGGCAGGTGCTGGCCAGGAAGCGGCCCTGGGAAGCAGCCCTTGGTCACTGGTCCCACAGCACCTCTGTCGGGCGCCTTGGACTCCGAAATACCAGCCAATGTGCTCACAGAGCAGGTGGAAGCAATAACAGAGCTTTGTAAATTTTTATTGATTGAATTTTTAAATTGATCATTTAAACTCTTGGCCTGATACAAAGTGCCTATTAAAGACGCAGGCTGCGTTACTTGTAGGTGTAAGGACCAGGCTTCAGTTTCCTTCTCCTCGTAGTTTGCATGTTTTTCCTCCCTAGTCTTTTAAACTGCTGGCACTAGCAGTAATAAATATTGATAAAATCAAAATTGATTTTTACCACTGGGCAGTTTATGCCTAGAGAGACGGCTTATACCTACATAACACACAAGGGGGGAAAATGAAGAACCTCCAGTGATCCATGAAAACCTAAACGCTTTCAAACAAATCCTAGGAGCAGAATTGCTATCGAGAGATATCAGTGCCCAGCTTGCAGGCTGTGTCGAGTCAGATACAGCTGGATGTAGTGAGCGCTCAGAGCTAAATAGCCCTTCAAATTAATATGAAAACAAGCTGTGTGTGTGTGTGTGTGTGTGTGTGTGTAGCATATGCACCATATGTAAGTAGCTTGACAGTTTCCAAATGGGGCCTATATTTTTGCACACAAATCTGTATTTGCAAACTCAGAATCCATGCCAAAATCCAGTACCATTTGTCATTTTCAGCTCTTTCTCAAAAGAACTGGCCCATGTACAAATTTCTGGGGATGGTTTATGAAAACCTTGGTTTAAAAGAAGAAAAGGATAATCAAGACGGGGGCCTGGGCCCCACTTCACCTTACATCTCGCCTTTCCACTCCCAGCTCCGGGGTGGAGGCCAGTGCTCCCCTGCGGGTGCGGCCACCCTGCCTGCTACTGGGCCTGTCTGACTTGGGTGGGGAATGAAGTAACGCTGGAATTACCTGCGAGGTACTTCTCAGAGGAAAATTATTTTAATCAGGCTTTGGAGTCATATTTGCTGTTGCTGAGAATGAATGCTTTCCAAGGTGAGCAGAAATGGAGTTGTGTGTAGAGTCCCTGGAGGGTGCGGATGGATGCCTGCAGTTCCCGGGCACACGAGTCCCAGGAGACCAGCCATCACTCTTTGGGAGCACACGGTGCAGAGTTGAGGTCACGTGGCCCCATGAAGTGGCTTCCTCGGGGTTCTTTGCCCTGATTGGGTTTGGAGTAGGCTTCTTCCCTGCTCAAAAGGAGCTGCCCTGATAAGAATAACCTTCGCCAGGAAGTTGGCTGTGTCAGGGCCGCCGCCATCTGTAGGGCATCTTTAGTGCATGTAGACGTGGAGCTCAGCCCTGCAAAGCCGTGCCCCCGGGGAGGGTCCCTGCCCTGGGTGAGGAGAGGAAGCTCCCGCAGGGTGAGTTAGGCCTGTTGAGAACGCCTTAGAGCCTCTGGGTTCGAACCTAATCCACCTCTGAAGGTCTGCAGGCTCAGACATGCCTCAGCTCGCTGGAGAATGAGCTGCCCTGGTCGCTGCCCGCCTGTGCAGCTTTCTGGTGTGTGCTTCCACACCTGGCCTGGTTATTTCCAAGCCGAAGCTCAGAAAATTAAGACTGCAGTTCAGATGCCCCCTCATTTTTCTTTTGGAAGCTGAACTCACTTCAGACAGTGGGGAAATAGGTCTTTTCATTTTCTGGCTGCCTCAACATCTCTGCCTGATGTTCCTGGGGAATGAATTTGGGGACTTTAGAAAGAAAATCACCAGACTGGCTCTGTGAGGTGATGATGGGAATGCTTTATGCATAACTCGTAAATTAAATGTGAATGAGAGCAGTTCATTAAAACTGGCATTACAGAAATGACCTGCTGAGGTTTGAAGACAGGCAAGCGGTTGGTGTCTCGGTCCTCTTCCTGCATTAGCGCTTCATTTCTCCAGGAAATCATCAAAGGGAGCCAGAGATGGAAGACCATGATAAAAAGCATCTGCCGAGAGGCAAGCTTGGGAGGCTCGAGAGCGGCTCTGTAACAGGACCACGGCTCTCCTGCTCCACGCTTTGCATGCTAAGCACACAAGGGTCAGCTAAGAAAGTTACTTGGGGTGCACAAAGGTCACCCAGACCTGGGGGGCTTGTGGCCATGTATACGACACTTAAAAGTAGAGGTTTCATGTTCGCTATTTCCCATCACAGAGGTATTTTGAAAAACGTGAGAGAGCACACATAAACAGCATTGTATTAGAGCTACCAGCGAAACCATGGCGGTAGATGAGAAGTCTCAAATACAATTATTTTAGATTTTTTTCCTTAATGAAATTAATTCATTAGAAAATGTCTGCATCAAATCTGTAGAAAGGAAGAAAAAGCTAGCAACAAAAGTACAGCTATTATCCAACTTGCCATAAATATTTGCAATTATGATACCTTGGAATGGTGCCATGGTATGGATTGCTCTGATTAAAAGATGCCAGTTGAATAAAGCCGTGCTGTGGGAGCATCATTCGCTGCAGCTAGATAAATGCTGATGTTTATTTTTACACCAGGAAACATTGATCCTGTAACAATGCCCTATTACAGTTGCTTTATTACACCACAGGGCTGATGTGGATTTAATCATTTGGCTAATGGGTGTGGGTGTGGGGTGCTGCTCACTCTGGTCCTGTGCTCCTGCTTGCATTCTGATAAGCCTCAGGAGCTCAGCCTGGCTTCCGCGGGCGGAGGGATCCTCTCCCTGAAACCCTAAGCCACGTTGCTGGGCTGAAATGAAATGGGTTCCTGGTACGTTTTGTTTCCCTTCAGAAAACACCAACTAAGGGAGACAAATCCGATCTTTTAACACAATCTCATTTCGGCTTAGTGCTAACAAGAATGCGGAGCTTTTTATGACTTAAGAAGATAAATTAGTGTGCATGGGTTACACACTGACTGTAGTTTTCCTTGTAATACAAAGAGCCCTGGTTCTTTTTATGAACGGGTTGCTTTCATTCCCATCTTTCTTTTGTTTTGCAGATGTAAACTAAACTCAGCTCTTAACCTCCTAGTGCAGCATTCATTTAAATGTTGTTCCCAATGAATTGTCCATGTGGATTCAAAAGTCAGGATTTATTGTCTGTAGTACTGAGGCCAGCTGTACCAAAGCTGCCTTTTGCTGCTCAAGACTGACGTAGGTAGCACTTAGTAAGTACCTCCGATGTGTGAGCCACCATATGAGGTGCTGAGTAGGTAGCACTTAGTAAGTACCTCCGATGTGTGAGCCACCATATGAGGTGCTGAGAAATCAGTGATGGAAGTGACGTTGGCTTTGGTTCGTTTTCTTTCTTCTTTCATTTGTAAGCAGCCTAAGTTCGGTGGTTCAAGCTCACACAGGGAGAAAAAAAATGCCAAATGCATTTTGTTGTCATTTCTTTTCTCT